AAAATACATTAGAAGTAGTTTTATCTTTTCACAACAAATTTTAATTACGTTTAAATTCTTTGGTTTTGCAGAATGATATTACAATCATTTGGTCTTACATCATAATTAATTGTTTTTAGGAGTCTTTGATGGTGATTTTTTCAATAAACAAACATGAGGAGTTAAAAGTAAATGGAGAATCACATCCAAGGATTCATCAAAAAAATTATTTACAGATAACAATCAAAACACAATTTATTTTTATTTTTTAAATAAAATTTGTTATTAATTTTTATTTATAAATAATTTTTTTGAGAAGCTGTTAAATGTGGTTCTCCCGTGAGTGAAAGTTTAAACACATAGCCGTTCAACACTTGGCCGTTCCGTCTACATTTACTTTGCTCAGCAAGCTCCATGTGCTCGCATTGATAACTGGTGCGTACTTATTATTATTTCGCATTTAATTCATATAACCACCTGCCCGCCCCGCCTATATTTATATCTATACCAAGCGAAACTTACCAATTTTAAGCAACTGAGATTATTACTGTTCTCATTTTTTATAAATTTTGTTAACATCTTTTTAACACGTTTAACCAAAAATAAAGGAAACTTTAAATCTATATATAAACTCTCTTTAAAAATTTAGAAAGTTTTGAATTTTTTTATATTATTTATATATTTTAATAATGTACTTTCTCTCACTAACATTTAATAGAAGGTAAGAAATTATGATAAAAAATCAATCACATATCTTATAAATAAAATTAAAAAATCTTTCTTTCTCAGTTTTATAAATTTAGATGAACACCTGAGCCTGTAATTTTATGTCACTTATTATTAAAGTGAATAGATGGAAGCACAACTGGCAGACCAATCAATTATCCAGATAAATGCCACGTGTGGCCGGTACATGCTGGCCTAAACATGTCCTCGTCCTTCAAATTCTCAAATAAATGTCAGCCTTTAATAGTTTAAATTGAGAGAATTGGATGAAATTTCCATGTCCGCTAACTGAAGGGCTAAAATTTTAGACACAGGAAATGACAACTGATAACGCCTCACCTAATCTGATGCTCAGAAGTAGAGAAAAAAAAACAGGCTTAAAAGTTTTGTTTGAATAAGTGTTTAAATTTTAAAAACTATTTTTTTAAATAACAGGATTTAACAGTTAAGTCTTAATAAGGCCTGTAAAAAATTTTTTTAACTTAAGTGGTGATTTAAATTTAATTATATTATTTTTTTTAATAAAACATGCATTTGAAGTAAAAAGGGACCTGTTCACCTAAATTTTTAATTTTACACGCATTATATAATTATTCATTTTAATTTATTTTAAAATTAATTTAATATAATTTAATAAATATTAGTGTACAGTATAAATTTTTTAATATTTTTTATTTTTTATAATTATTATACTCGTGTATTTGTAAAAAAAATAAAACTATTTTTTATTAATATTTGAATTTTACTACTAAACTTTTAAATGTGTGTTATTTAATTTTTAAAAGATTATGAAAATTTTAATTTTTTTAATTCTAAAATATCTTAAATAATTTACAGTACTTAATTTTATTTTAATTTTTTAAAATAAAATTTATGGGCTCAACTTTAAATTTTTTAAATGAGAATTGGGTTTTAAAAAATGAATGAAAAATAAAAAATTTAAGTTTAAAAAATTATGTCTTGAGCCCGACCCACAAGGATTGAGTTGCCAGTTTTTCAGCTCTACTCAAAAGCCAGAGCGAGCGGCTACACATTCTGCCTCCGACAAACTCAAACATATTCCTAAATAGAAATTCCATTCCACTTACATTCCATGGACCATTCGAAATCATTGCAGAAACCCAGCTGCCACGTCCGTACTGCCTTCACCTCCTCACTTTTTGGTTTTTGCTGTTTGTATGTTTTAAACCCATCCCTCTTCTGCTTTTCAATTCTCCTCTGCCACATACATATTCCTAAGAAAAAAAACTAATTCTAATTTTATCTCTCCTGCTCTCCCTCACATCTACACACGCATGGATACACAAACCAATTTCTAACACATTTCCTCCCTAGCCTTTTTTTTTTTCAATGCTTATAATGTGTGTCTGTGTATAGATGTATAAAGTACATCTTAAAAACATGATTTCAATTTTTCAATACTTAAAAAATAGAAAAAATTTTGACCAGTGCAAAGTTCGAACTGATTCCCAATTTTACTCTCAATATAGGAGGTCAGTTGTCGATCCAATAAAATTAATCGACCAGTCATATTTGAATTTTTTTTTTTGACATTGATAATTTATTTCATATTCCATCTAAAAATTAAACAAATTTTTAATTTTACCCTTATTTAGACCCATACGGTGTAATTTTTTTTTTTTAAGAAAGCGGAACTAACATTAGTAAATGTAATATGAACAAGATGTAATATATTATATCCGATATCATGACTTATAAGAAGGACAATTTTCTTTTTTTGGACCGGAGATAACGAATGTGAACGGATGCAATATGTGTCTTTACCTTTTCAGTTTTTGACCGATCTTTATTAAAGTTAGTTCTGAAAATCAAAATTTATCAAAACTTAACATAGTATAATAACCATAATGAGTGAAACTCAGAAAACGATGCATCAGATCATCAGTTCACCGGAACACAAGATTGTGGTACAACAAGCAATTAAGTTGAAAGCAGCTGGAGAGAGGGTGGTTGTCCAAGCAAGAGCTGTCTGAAAATAGCTTCACATAAACCTGGTTCGTGAATCATGAGATGCCCACCATCAGCTACCTCAAAGTAGTTTATCCATGGAAGCTTGTTCGCCAGATATCGTTGCAGCTCATAGGGGACCAACTTATCTTCACGGCCCTGCCATAGATACACACGACAACCTTCTTTTTCTGGGAATGGATTCTTCATCTCCATAGGATCGAACTCCCACCTCCCAAAATGCACCCTCAGGTCCCTATGTAGCGATTCGAAATCACCTTGCTGCCTAATCTTATGCTGCAACACCTCCCACCAAAAAGAAAGAAAGAAAGAAAGAAAACCAACCTTTATTATGTTTCTCACAACACTGGGAGATGAAAAGAGCATATGCACGAAGTGATGAGAAATGAACCTCGTGAGGCATAGGTACGTGAGACATTTGCTTTATAGTTTGGACGTCTCGTCTGTTACCTAGGATTGGGTGTCCCTGCATTATGGAACAATAAGGGAAAATCTTTTGGGTCATCCACCAGTAGACTAGGCCAGGAGCATAGTGTGAAATTCTGAGTTTCCCTGATCCCTTTTCAGCTGCTTCTGGAATACCCTCTTCACCAATTCTGGATTAAAAGATGGCCACCAGAAATTTATCACAGGAACCACCAGTGTCACGCCGGCTAGCCTGTACGTACCGACCAAATTATCCTTTGATGATATTGACGTACATGTTATTTAATGAAAATAAAGGAGTCATAACATGATAAGAGAGAAAGCAAGCAGGCCTGTGTGGTATGTATTTGAGGCAAGCCCAGACAGCGTGTGTTCCAATGGAGAGACCAATGAGACAGAACTTTTGACCCAGTTCTAGCTTATCAGCCAATTCTTGGATATCAAAAGCTTCGGTCTTGACGGTGCGTTTTGGGTTGGGATCGCTTTCTCCATACCCTGCTCTGTCATAGGTCACTAAGTACAACCCCAACTCATCCAATACTTCCTGCAAGAAAATGGTGAGGCTATATTTGATCAAGCTGGTGATTAAAGCAAGAAAATACAGACAAGGAGGGTAAGTGTCTTGCTTGAGAAAGTGGCAAATAGAGGTCCTTGGAGCTGTTAAAGCCATGCACAAGTATGGCTTTGTGTTTGGCTAGCTTCTTAGGAACTCCTCTTTCTCTGTAAGCCAAATTCCTGCCATCACTGAGCTTGATTCTTGGTGAGGTCACAGGAGGGCCGTGTGGCGTCCCGCAGATTCTTGGTTCTGGTGGCCTCATCGACCTTTCATAGTATGCATATGTCAGAATTGTCACTAACAACGCAGATGCTGCCAGCATAAGCATTCTGAACCTTTCGTAAAATCAGTATCAATACAAGTCTTGTGAGAGCGAGACACAAGGTTTCAGTTATATCGCCTTCGTAGGTTTGATCTTTAGGTGTTGACTAGTCATCGAACACATTTTCAACTGCCTTGCAGTTGATAACTGCAACAACTTTTTACCTGCTGGCTCTGATATTTTTAGCTTCTCACGAGACATGTTTAACCAGCACCACAAAAAATTGATTAATTGCAAGCTTATCTTAATTAGGACAATAATTAACTCCTTTTAATCCACCATTGCTGTTTAGAAATGAATCGATCAATTAATTTCACACACAATACACACTCCCTCCAATCTTATTTATAGGACAAAGGAAAAAGATTTTTTTTTGGGTACCATTTATAAATTATATCATTAATTTTTTATCGCAAATTTTCACCTATATCTTTTATTTAATATTAGAGAGAAAAAATATGTTATAAATTATATACATTTAATAAAAATAAAGCTAAAAACTTGTTAACTTTTTACATAGAGACAATAAATTTTAAATTTTTCTTTAATTTCAGTTAACATCTTGAAGGTAACTCATAAATAAAAATAAAATGAATTATGATTTTTGGTAAGATGTCAAAATCACATTACTTTATTCACTCAACATTATTTAAAACTTCTGTCTTTTACTTCCTCCTCCCCTCCCTTTTTCTTTTTCTATATTATCGGGACCATTGCTGTAATTTAAAAATTGATAATTTGATTGATACTACTTGTTAAAAAAAAAAAAAAACTTAGTGACTAGTTCGTATCATATTTTTATGATGATTACCGGATTAAATTTTACAGACAGACATAGTTAATCATCTGCTATCTTGATACTTTGAATACATATGTATGATTTAAGACAGTCCTCTCCTCATAATTTACATCATATATCAGAATTGATTTTATTTTATTGTGTACTTTTACCCTTATCCGCAGAATCTCTTGGGGGAAAAAAACGATCACATGCACAAAATCTGAATGGAACAGAAAAAGTTGTGTACTCATCTTCCTCAAAATATCTGCAACTCACATGCAAAGCATTATTCAACTGTTACTGAAGAATGACAGAAGAACCACGTGTTCAACATCCTCCTAGTATCCCAAATCTCAAAGGCCAGCGATGATTAGAGCATCAATCTCATAAATGTCTGATCACTACAGCATGTTATTGAATTACATATCTGATAACTTTTCTCCTGAGCTCTGTTTAATGCATCTGCTTGCGTGCATATATTTAGGAGGAGGAAGTCAGGATAGCAAAAGATCTCTTACCACAGCATCGCAATGAATGTTCCTAAAGATTAGAAAATGGCCTGCTGCGGGAATCTCGTGATAATGAATCCATGGAAGTTTCTGCGATATGTATCGGTTCACTGTGTAGGGAATGACCCTATCTTCATACCCTTGCCATATGTGCACTGTACCTTCTTTTTCTGGGAATGGATTCCTGATTTCTATGGGACTGAATTCCCACCTCCCCAGTCCAGCAATCAAGTCTCTGTGCAAAGATTCATACTCTCCCTGTTGTGTTATCTTCTCCTGAACATAACCATATATGCTATTCACATCTCAGAGTTAAATGCCTACATAAACTTATGAGAATCACCTGTAATGACACTCACACACACACACACACACACGGGACCCACCTCACCAACACCAGGCTGCTGTGACAAGCTGTTCAAGCAGTCCAGATCGTCAGGACTGAAGACTGACATATTCCCTGTGAGGAAACTCAGTGAAGGGAACCATTTTTGGGACATCCACCAATATAACAACCAAGGGGCGTAATGAGCCACTCTGAAAGTCCATCGGTCTCTAGGAGGTAACCTCTTGAAGGCTTGTCTCAGTAAATCCCGAGGAAAACAAGACCACCAGTAGCTTACAAATGGAACCACCAGGGATGCTCCTGACAATCTGCCAAGCAAATAAATTAAAGATCATTGACAATCGGCAAATGACAACCTTAAACTTTAGTTTTGATTTTGTCCGTGAAAATTAGTGTGTCAGTTTAAGAGTCTGGAATAGCCATCATGCCTATGAGGAATGTATCTGAGGCAACCCCAAATAGGGTAGCTTCCCATTGAGACGCCCAGGACATAAAATTTAGCCCCGAGTTGCAGTTTATCAGCTAGCTCTTGAATATCATACGTTTCACTCTTCACTGTACGTGATGGGTCCGGATCGCTTTCTCCATATCCTGCTCGATCGAAGAACAGAAAATATATGCCAAGTTCATCTATGAGTTCCTGTAGCAACAAGCTCTATCAGATTTCTTCTCAGAGAATGATTCTGAAGAATGCTATATAATATATGTAATGTAAATTAGCGACGATACAAGATAACTAGAGTTCATACTTGGGACACAGGCAAGTTCAAATCTTTGGAAGAGGCAAATCCGTGGACCGCAATGATCTTGTACCTAGCCTCTTCCTTGGGAACTCCAAACTCCCTATAGGCCAAATGTCTGCCGTCACTGAGTTTCACCCTCGGCGACGTGATCTGAGGACCTCCCGGCGACCCGCAGAATTTAGGACGAGGAGGCCTTAGGGCCTTGTAAGTCAACCCTAGCAGACCCAGCACCACCGCTGCTGCAGCCGGATTCACCATTGCTGTAAAAGAAACAATTCAAATATGTTGGGAGTCGAGGAAGATTTATTCAGATTCATATTTGAAAAATGTATCATATAAATATGCAACTTCTCAGATTAAAACCTTCCGTGATAAGTTTACGAGTCATTTCTATTTATGTTAATATTCAAATAACAATAGATGAGTAACTTGTACAGGCATGCAGAAGAGATAACAGAGAATACGAAATCTGATATTCAACAAAAGCTTAGGGACCAGAAAAGCAAAACAGGGACAAAATAACAGAGTAGTATCTATGGACGCCCAGAATTGAAGCACCTTATAACGAAAACGGCATATAAAGGGGAAATTACGCTAGGTTAGTAAATTTCGCAAATAAAGATGGGCAGCGAGAGTATGTATCAGGGGATCAGAGGACCAGCACATGTCCTTTGAGAATCTAAAAGATTACAATGAATTTGAACCCAAATACACACGAGTTTAACAAGTAAAAGTTCATTATGAGAAACAGGCAAAAGCTCTGAAACTATGCAGGCAGCAAACGTGGAAGCAGTAAATCATCAAAGACGGTTCGGAGACGGTGAAATCAAAGGAGTAAATCTTGAAGCCAGAGCCAGCAAGAGAGCGTGAAAGCAGAACGAAGTAGTGAAAAGGGATCTGAAACGGACGGTTTTGATCGGAGCACATTACTAGATTACAGGTTGTTAAAAATACATTTAATGAAAATTCACTTTCAATATAAAAATTAATTATTATAATAAAATTTATATTCAAATATTTTTTAAAAATTAATTTAATACACTGAAAATTATTTAATTTATAATAATAAATATATTTTTAATATATAATTATAAAAAAATATGAATTTATAATAATTTATAATTTTTATTTATAAATATAATATATTTAAAATATTTTAAAAATGTGATAAAGATTTTAAATAACATAAATTTTAATTTATAATATTAAAAATTTAATATTTAATTACTTGTATTTTTAAAATTTAAAATTATTTTAAAAAATAAAAATTTATATATTTTTATTATATATTAATGTTAAAAATTAATATAATTAATTATTTAATTTATAATATTAAAAATTTAATACTTAATTATTATTATTATTAAAATAATAATTATCTTTTTATAATTATTTTTTTTAATAAAAATAAAAATTAAATTTTGAGTAATATGATCAAATAATATTTTATTTTTTAAATTTATTTTTTAAAAATTTTAAATAGTTATTAAAATTTATTTTTCACTAATGTTTGAATATATTTTTAAAATATTTTTTTAAATATTTTATTTAAATATGTTTAACTTTTTAAAAGTATAGTTTTATTTTTTAAACGTGAAACGCAAGAAAATCAAGCCGACGCTACGGCTGTTGGGACCGGCGAAGTGGAATCTTAGCACCATTAATCGATTTGATTGATGAAAGTGACAAATAAAACACTGCGACATATTCTCCTTGTGGCGTCAATCAGTCATACCCACCAGCATTTCCAAACGCAACCATTTTTTCCAGAGTAAGTGAAGGGAAAGCTAAAGGCAAATACTTTGTCCTGCCTCCAATATTTGCAGTCATGGAGCGTATGCAAAGAAAGAATTAATGATCTAGTTTTTATAATTTTAATTTAATTATAATTTAATTTTTTAATTTTAATTTATTATAATTCAGTTTTTTAAAGTTTTAATTTGGTTATAAATTAATGTTTGAATTTCACCTCTTACAATTTAATTCTTAAAGTTTCAACCTCTTAAATATTAATTCTTATATTTTAAAAAAATAAAATTTTAAAGATTAAAATATTTTAAAATTTAATATTTATAAATATTAAAAGGGTTAATAATTTAAGATATTAGTAACAAATTTTAAAATATTTTTAATCTTTAAAATTTTATTTTTTTTAAAATAGAAGGATTAATATTTAAGAGGTTGAAATTTCAAGAACTAAATTGAAAGTAAAATTTAAGGATTAATTTACAACCAAGATAAAATTTTAAGAATTGAATTATAATAGATTAAAATTTAAAAATTAAATTATAATTAAATTAAAATTATAGAGATTAGATGATTAATTTTTTCGCACGCAAGCATACGCAATTCATCGTGTTGATTGACTAGCAGTTCCTGCAAAGCAACGCGCTTCCAGTCGTCGTTAGCTTTTGTATGGGCCACAGTCAATTATCCATTGGTTGTTCGTTTGAAGGGAAGAAAGATTTTAAATGTACTTCAGGTCACAGATTTTGATCCCCGCACATGGAGTTACAACGCTTTTTTTTTTAAAAAAATTATTTAAGACAGTTTGACAACACTTAATTAAAATGAAAGCCTTCGTTTTTCTGTCTTGTTTTTGGTATGAAACTGGCTAAGAAGCCCAAGCTATACTATCAACTAGAAGTCAAACGGGGGCTAAAATATTGGGCCACCTTTTGAGTCTGCTTCCATTTTTAGCGTGATCCTCATTAAAATTATACCCATTGGAATTATTCTGCCGAATCTGCATTGTTCTCGGATTCTTCTCACTCTGAATATCTCCCAGTATCTCAAAGCAAGATTTATGCTGATTATTGCTAACGTCATTTTGTGATTTTCTCAGCCTTCTTGTTTTGGTCACAACTTTCCATTATGATTCCTCCGTTTGGTTGTTCCTCTCCGGTGCGTTCTCTATCGGGTCTTGTCGTCATTCTCCACCTCCTGGCTTATCAGTTCTTGCACCTGTTTGATTCCCTTTGAAGGGGCAGGCTTCCTTGATATAACCGTACCTGCCACAACAAAAGCAAAGATAATGAATACTTTCATATTCAATTTATTTTTTTATGAATTCAATACTGTAAGTAAGAACAAGAGGTTTAGAAAGATCTACTTCAACACAAGTTCTAGCAAACTTCCTTCTTTCCCGCAGAGTTGTAGAAAGGTCTACTTTTAGCGTCTTTCCCATCATGTTGCCCAATATGTGCCAAATTTTTGTCGTAATAAGGTCTCGAGAGATCAGGTAATCGTGCCCATAATGTTATGTGACTCAGCTTTTCATTGCATGGGTCAAAATCAGATCTCAAGTTGAGACCGATAGATAATTATCTAGTAGAACCCAGGCGCCTCCCGTTAATACTTCTCTATAATCATCTGCATCCTTAAACTGAACCAAAGAATAGTCATTAGGCATGTCGCTTGTTTTAATCCATCCTTTTGTAGCCCAAATCTGACTGAGCTTACCTTCTTATGAAGGACAAGGACAACGTTTTTCCCAGTAGTTTCACGATTAAAGCTAGTTTGAAAGGCTTAAATATCCTTTCTTTCTCCTCCTAATCCAAGGTGAAGTTCAAGCAGAAAGGAGAGAGGTCCACTTATTCGGATCCCGTACATTCGAGAAACTAATATCAGTACTCCCACAGTCAATGGTCTCATCTTCTGGTTCAGTATCTTCATGTATGTCATCCTCTTCCGTGCCGTTGTCCTCCGTGAGTTTGTTCTTGTACGAGATCATCCTTTCCAAGGCTTCCATCCACACCTCCACTCTAGGTACTCGAGTGACCGTTCTTGAGAATAGTCCATCTGCCTTGCGAACCTTTTTCTTGCTTCTTGTTAGTGCATCAGTTTCCTCCGTCGACGGCGGAGGTACGCTCGCTACAGAGGAACTGACCATTCATGCAATGCGAAACGGTCTTGTGTGGGATCTTAATGAAAGCATTTTAAATTCTAAAATTTCACTTCAGACCAAGAATAGTGAAGTAAAATTAGAATGTTGAGAGAAATGATAAAATTAATTTTTTTTTATTTTTTTTTAAAAAAACTACTTCAAATTTTCCTTTCCTTGATTCTCTTTCTCAAAACACTGATATCTAGAAGGAGAAATTGCAGAGAGAGAGATCAATCGCTAGGGAGGCAAGTTTAGTAAGACTAACGGAGGAGGAAGAGGGTACTATTACCTGTGAAAAAGAAGCGATGAATATGAAGCAAGGTTATGCAAGAGGAGATAAAGACAATGACGTCGATTGAGGGAAAATGTGGAAGAAGAGAGCGGCAATGGGTTTAACGGGTTCCATTGCATTAGTAAAAACACGGCTAGATTCTCAAAATCTTATTGGAGATCTCGTTTCTTTTTGAAAAAATACATATAAATCTGCATTTTATTTTCAATCTGAAGCATGTATGGAATTGGGTTTTGCACAAAGGGAATATCAATTGGGTTTGAATCTGAAGCATGTATAAATCTTCCTTTAAGCAAACCCAATTCTATACATGCTTCAGATTCAAAACAAAATGAAGATTTATATGTATTTTTTTGAAAATAAATGAATAAAGACAGAACATGATCCAACGTGGCCATTGTCTACTTGACCAAGACTCGAGCTACGCAAAGCGAAGAAGGAAATAAGTCGAGAGGGGAGAGCTTATTCCAAATCCAAATTCTCATTTTCCACACAAGCACAAAATTGAGACAACCACTTCTCGCTTTGATTGCGCTCTCAATGGTTGCTGATTCCTCTCGTAGTAATGTGATGACAAGAGGATTAAATGCCAACGGGTGGATTTTGATATATTAGTAATATTTATCGCAACAAGAATATTAAACATTCGAGAACAAGATTCAAAGCAATATTAAAGCGGTCCTCCTCCATTATTTTGCCAAGCTTGCCTCCGAGGACGATCAATCTCTTTGCAACTCCTTCTTCTTAATATCAATCAAATCGAGGAAAGTGTTCTGAGCGAGGAAGGAAATTTAAAGAAGTTTTTTCTTTTAAATTTAAGAAAAGGTTAATTTGATTATTTTTATTAATATTTTAATTTCATTTCACTATCGTTGGTTGGAAGTCAAGTTTTAGAATTTAGAAGGTCTTCTTTTTAATTAAATATGGTCAAGGGAATGTATAAACTTGATGGATGAATTGAAGCTGGACTAACCAAGAAACTTTTTTATATGGATGTTTTAACTTGAGATGCATGTTCAAATATTCATAACTCCTTCCACGGGAACAGATTGGTAAGTATATATAAAATTTTTAATGATGAACCTAATAAGTGAGAAAAAAGTAAGAAGAAAAAGGTGGGGTCCCAAATTGCAAAGCAGCACAAATGATGGCAGGGCACACAGGGAAGAGGGAGAGAGGGATGTGATTATGATCAACGAGGTGGTTTCTCTCCATTATATTTTTCCTTTACTACTTCTTCGTTGCAATCTAAACCATTTGAATCAAGTCTATATTTTTTGAAATTGTCAAATATAAATCGCCAAATTCAATTTAAATGTTCAGATTTGTGGCCTCCTCTACTCTCCTCTACAAAGAGTAAATCCAACTCCATGAACAAAGATGAAGCAGAAAGACGTAGAAAGATGTTCCCACATGATGACGACAGAATTAGGAACCTACGACTACCACAAAACGTGCCTGTATGGATATGCATTCTCTGGGGCCTCTTTTTGATTGGTCTCTTTAAGTCTTAGGCCCCCTTTTATGCGTAGTTATTGTGGATACACTCCGTTAGATTGGATGGAATTGTGGAATATAATTTTTTTCCACACTCATTATATATTAAGATTGATTTTATCTTATGGCTTTAATTTTGTGACTTGATTGAATTGAAAAAGAATTCCAGCCAAAGCAGCCATCAGATGGCATATACATTACATCCTGCATTATTTCAAAACTAACTCTCTTGGCAA